ACCACTTTTCATCACAGCAATCATGTAAAGTACTTCAAATGAAAGAAAACATCAGTTTTAAACATAAATGCTGAAGCACCACAGTCACCAATATTATAAATGAAATTCATGCACATATATGTGGTATGTGATATGTGATGTCATGATGACATCATACAGAAACCCGGAAGTTGATGAGCTATGTTAGCTAGATGTGACTTCACTTAACAATCACATGGGTCTTGGTGTTTTGTGACAACCCTCCCCTTATGTCTTACACAGCTCTCACATGGCTCTGTAGCATTTAGGCAGGTTTGGTATTGAGTGGTGTTATGCAACAGTTAGGCTCTTGCCATTCATCAAACAAAAATTTATATTTTTATTTCAGGTGGCAGCAAACTGATGAATGGCCATCAGATGATGCACGCCTCAGTCATGGCATCAGTGAAACTGGAAGTCATGACAGTGAATCAGAAGAGAAACATTGCCACTAGCTGACCAGGAGTCTGCAGAAGCGGCCCTCAGTAAGCGCCAAAAACATCCATGCTGATGTCGGCGACGTGACGGCGCCGCCGAAAGACACGGAGCCAGCCGGGCGCGGTGTCCGAGCCGGCCACCGCGCCTCGCTCCAACGGCGGCTGCCTGGTGATGCGGGCCTCGTCGCCCCGAAGACGCTGGGCGGGGGGAGAGCGCCGCCCGGGGCCGCGCCGGCAAGTCCAGCTGCAGGTGACGGCCGTTGGCTCGAGGCCGCGTCCTGGCGCTGCCGTGGTGGTCGGTCGGACGGCCGGCGCTGAGAGCCCCCCGCAGACGCCGCCGCGCACCTCCAGCAGACCGAGCCATGCTGGCTGGAGAAGGACAGCCCCGGCAAGGCTGACCGCGTCGCCGACGCCAGGCTCGAGACCGATCCCAAGCTGGCCGCCGAACCGGCCGACTCCGAGGGCGAGGAGGCTGGCGACCTCCGCAGACGGTGACGCTGCGGAGGAGGAGGGAGAGGTGGAGGAGGGGAAGGAGGCGGAGGAGGGGGGCGGTGGCGGAGGGGCGAGGAGGAGAGGAACGGCGGCGGAGTGGTGGGGGAGCGGCGGCGGCGGACGAGGTCGAACAGACGAGGAGCGGCTTGGGACGGGACTGGAGGAAGTCGAACCGGCGGTGCAGGAGAGCCGACTGGAGCTGGAGAAGGTCGGGCCGGTGACGGAGCAACGGCCGGCCTCGCACATCGTCCTGCAGGTGGAGCGCAACGCGTCGGAGCCGACGCCGACCGCGGCCGGCGAGCACCACCTGATCGTGAGCGTGGACGACGGGTCGGACGCGGTGACGCTGCTGGTGGACCGCCTGGAGGAGGACGGCGTGTACGAGCTGGCGGGGCCGGCGGCGTCCGACTGCGAGCTGCTCGAGCTGTGGGCGTGCGGCACCGACGGCGGCGAGCAGCGGCCGCTGGAGACGGTGCGCGAGGTGGACCTGGTCGACATCCGCGCCGTCTGTGAGACGTGCGGCTGTGCCATCAGCCACTACATGGTGGGCCTGCTGGCGCGCGAGGACGGCTCCGAGTACGGCTACCGCTGCCGCATGTGCCAGAGCGTGTTCCGCGACGTGGACGACATGGCCTGTCACATGGACTCGCACCGCTCGCCGGCCGACACGCGGTGTCGTTTCTGCTCGTGCGGCCTGCAGAGCCTCCGCCAGGCGGCCAACGCCCGGACGTGGGTGTGCCACGCGTGCAAGCTCACCTTCGGCACGCGCCAGGAGATGCTGAAGCACCGCGAGCAGCACCCGCTCAAAGAGCGCTTCCCGTGCGAACTCTGCGACAAGGCGTTCCAGATGAAGGTCCAGCTGGAGGTGCACATGCGCTCGCATCTGGGCCACAAGCCCTACTCCTGCGACATGTGCCCGGCCACCTTCGTGCAGCCGAGCCACCTCATCAACCATCGGCGCACGCACACCGGCGAGCGGCCGTTCTCGTGCGAGCAGTGCGGCCGCGCGTTCGTGCAGCAAGGCCACCTGAAGGCCCACCTGCGCACGCACACGGGCGAGCGGCCGTACAGGTGTGACGTGTGCGGCCGCGCCTTCCGCCAGTCGGGCCAGCTGACGGCGCACCGTCGGCTGCACGAGAGCGGCACCGTCTACCGCGTGCGTCGGCAGCACGGCGAGCCGATCGACCCGCAGGAACTCACCTGCAGGGAGTGCGACAAGCGCTTCAAGGCCATCAAGGACCTGCGCCGGCACATGCTGGTGCACAGCGGCGGCACGCACGAGTGCGCCATCTGCCGGCGCTTCTTCAAACGTTCAGACCACCTCAAGCGGCACATGCGCCAGCACGATAAGCCGGCGCGGCCGGCCCGACCGCGCGGCCGTCGGCGCAAGGCGAGCGCGGAGCGCGGGCCGACGGGCGCCGACCCCCGTGGCCTCGCGCTGCTCGACAACATCATCGACGGCGTGCTGGAGGTGGAGGGGGACGCGTCGTGGACGCCGCCGGCGGGCGAGAGTCGGGGCGCCGCCGACTCGGACGCCGGCGACGTGGAGGCCGAGACGCTGAGAGGAGGCGTTGCGCGGGCTGGAAGCGACGGGTGTGTCTGTCCGACCGGCGCCCGCGGCGCGCGCACTCAGAGACGCAGCGTGCCCCGAGCGAGGAGGACGACGGCGACCTGCGCGGCTGTAGTCGGCGACCGGTCAAGGAAAGAGGACAGCGAGGAGGATAGGAGGGAGGAGGAGGAACAGGTCCCTGAAGCTGGATGGACAGCATGACGTGGGCGGGGGGACGACAGTGCGGGCCGGCGACCAAGGCCGAAGAGCCGGGCGACCACGAGCCGGTGGCGGCCGACGGATTCCGACCTCATCTGGGTGACGTTGGACGAGGACGAGGCTGAGGAGTCACCAGCGCCCAGGGCGCAGCGGAGGCGCCGGGCGCCGGCCGGTCCGGCTCCGGGGCTACGCGCCTCCCGACGCCGCACCCGCCGGCAAACCGGGCGGCTGATGTGGGCGTCAGTCTGAGCAGGAGCCGCAGAGGGCCGCACGCCCAAGCGGTGATGCCCGGGCTGTTGGGGTGGGAGCTCATCGCGGGCTCATGCTAGTGAGGCTAGATATTAGATGTTACGTTAGTGGTATCTGTGCAAGGCAGGAGCCCTGCGTGGGTTTGTCGACAGACGTCAATATTCTCGCTGCGGCATTCGTGCGGCATGCTTCGATCGTTGTGTGGATGGATCGATGGCGCGGCTTCGGTGGTTGCTGCACCTCTGCCGGCCGGTGTTGCTTGTTAATACAGTCATGTGTATTGCCTTATCGTCAAATATACGGCAGCAATGTGTTCGGTGATCCCTTTGTCATGCTGAAGCCGTTCGTACAGGGCCGCCATCTTGGCACGCCGGGCGCATTTATATGGGCCGGTCGCTTCGTGTTCAGGATTCGGAAGTGAAGCCAGCCATGTGCATGTAAATCCGCTGCAGGCTGGCTGACTCATGACGCTTGCGTGCGTGACTTTAAAGGTCAAGCATATGCTTTTCTGTCTGGGGTCAGTTTGTTGCGCAGGCTCAGAAAACTGTACTTGTAACGTTGTCTTAAAGTGTTTGTCACTTATGTTGGTATGCGAAAGATTCGTCCGGTATCGTAACTTAACAGGCTAACCGGACGGTTCTTTACAGCCGGTTAACAGATCACAAGCAGCGCACAACACCATGTACCAGGCCGACGTGGGATGTACCCTGTACCAGGCCGACGTGGGATGTACCCTGTACCAGGCCGACGTGGGATGTACCCTGTACCAGGCCGACGTGGGATGTACCCTGTACCAGGCCGACGTGGGATGTACCCTGTACCAGGCCGACGTGGGATGTACCCTGTACCAGGCCGACGTGGGATGTACCCTGTACCAGGCTGACGTGGGATGTACCCTGTACCAGGCCGACGTGGGATGTACCATGTACCAGGCCGACGTGGGGTGTACCAGGCCCAGACGTGGGATGTACCCAGGCCGACGTGGGATGTACCCAGGCCGACGTGGGATGTACACAGGCCGACGTGGGATGTACTCAAGCCGACGCGGGATGTACCCAGGCCGACGTGGGATGTACTTTGTACCAGGCCCAGACGTGGGATGTGCCCAGGCCGACGTGGGATGTACCCTGTACCAGGTCCAGACCGATGTGGATGTACCCAAGCCGACGTGGGATGTACCCAGGCCGACGTGGGATGTACCCAGGCCGACGTGGGATGTACCCAGGCCGACGTGGGATGTACCCAGGCCGACGTGGGATGTACCCAGGCCGACGTGGGATGTACCCAGGCCGACGTGGGATGTACCCAGGCCGACGTGGGATGTACCCAGGCCGACGTGGGATGTACCCGGCCGACGTGGGATGTACCCGGGCCGACGTGGGATGTACCCAGGCCTGACGTGGGTATGTACCCCCAGGCCGACGTGGGATGTACCATGTACCAGGCCCAACGTGGGAATTCCCTGGCCGACGTGGATGTAAATGGCCTCCGGTAGTGCTTAGCTTTTTGTTGCGCTTGCGACCACTCATCACACCCTTTGAAGCAACCAGCAGTAATCGGGGGTCAAAATGTTGGACCGCTTCGCCAACCTTGCTGGCGTTTCCTTTATCACCGGAATGCCCTGGTGAAAGTGTAGTCCTGCGTTACCGAGGGTCCCCATAGTTTCGGAAAACAGCCGAGATGAAATTGAGGAACTGCATTTTCATCGATATGTTAGCACCATATCGACGAAAACTCTTCAAAAGCTCATTACGTGTATGGGTAGTGTGGTGGTTACGCGGCCTGAGGAGCCAGAGGTACGGTGCTCGTTTTCCCGTTGTGCCTGTCTTCCTGCCAGGGTGACAGGCAGGTGGCGCCATGTGGTCTCAGCAGTGAGAGCGCCATAGCGTCTCAATGACAACAACAATAGCTCATCATCAGCTTCCTCGTACTCTAGACTCCGGTGGTTGCCCAGAAAGTTTGCGATGCTCGACTAGAGTCAGCCAAGCATAGAGTTCGGGGAGATTGAATGTTACACCGAAGGAGGAATCCTTGATGAGCTGACTTATCTCAGGCCCATTTCATGTCACCAGCTTCAGTTTCTCCCCGTTTATCGGGAACCCCTGTCGCAGAAAAGTGAATCCTTCGCCTTCTTTGTCAACCACCTTTACCACCCTTTTTCTCTACCGAGTTTGATGCGCACTGGTGGAAGAAAATTCTTGCGCGGTTCTACAATAGGCTGCAACAGAGCATTGTGTGAACCGAGCTGTAGTCGTGGCCTTGACGGCCATTCTTTTGGCATCAATGCTGGTCGCTTGCCCGGCTGTTCCACAGACACGTGAAGCATGGGTGCTTCGTGTGCCCACCTTGAAGTCATGCGACGAGAACTACCTCGAGATCTCCACAGTTGTCTGTGGCATCTGTGGAGTGTCTGTTACGCTTGTGGTATTTGTGACCATACCGCACGACTTGCGGTGTGTCGACGCCCACGATTAGCGATAAGAGCGGTCACCAAATAGTAGCGGAGCGAGCGGTCAGAATACCCACGCGGTGAAAGCTGCAAGGATCAGTTGTGCTACGATCACCAGATGGCACTAGAAGCAATTAAGCTAGAATAGATGGGTATGCCATGGCCGAGCTGCCAGCGCATTGGACCTGCACGTGGAAGGCCCGGGCTCAAATCCCGGTTGTACCATGGCCCCTCATCTTTAACGTAGCCGACGCCGTTGCTGCCGGTCGATCGAAGGGGCGTGACGACGCGCTTTCCGTTTCCTTTAAAAAATAAAGAGCGAATATAGATCCCGCAACTGGACTTCAATTCAACTTTCCTCTCCAGAACAACTACCATAGCTAACGCCAGCTGTTAGAGCGCCGCCTTTACAGTTTGCGCAGGTTTTGCTCACGGGCTTGCATGAGGACAGAGCCAGTAAACTGCCGATAGCAGCGGTCGCTGCGCTGCGAACGAGCCCGCCGCGGAGGTTCTGCCCAGCGCAGCGACGTCTCAGGGCCGAAGAAGGGTTCCTGAAGCGTAGGTACTCCTCGTCTACACCGAGCCGCGCTCGGAGCAGCAGCGGCAGTGGCCGAGGCGCGATGTTCGCGACGGCTGTCCGGCCGCGGGCGACACGAGGCCATGCTGCGTGGCAGTGGGCGAAGCAATGGCCTCTCGTCTGCCGTTGGCGGTGCAAACCAGAGCAACAATCTGGTGCATGCAGATGATTTCGCTAATCTTCCTGGCGAATATCAAAATGATGATTATCAACGGAGTTTTTTTTTTGGTGTCTCTGCAATGTAACGACATTGCAAAACAGAAAAAAATATTGGCAAGATCAAGCTCGAGTCCATCACCAAAAGTGTAGATGGGCTTTGGTCGACATTTGTTTTTAGTTATCACAATTAACAACTATTTTGTAACCAACACCTTTCAACACTAGGCGATGTTATCGAATAAGCTTCTTCTCACGATTTCATCGTTTCCACATAAATTGTCTTCATTTCTTATTGCAAGGTATGTGTGAAAATGTAGCGGTTCGAAATGAAGCTCAAAATGTTTGTTTTTTTGGCTCTTTGTGGAGCTGAATGAATCCAAGCCGAAGAGATATCAGCAGTCTGTGAAACGTTTCGAGCCAGCTGGTCTGCCTGCTATACCAGCCTTTTTAATCGAATTGTTACCGGCGCGGATTTCCCCCTTCAGTTATGTAAGTGTTATGTCTCTACCACCATTAATGGCATGTACTTGGAGCTTTCAGTAGCGAGAAACCTAATTCGGTACATTTGGTTGGTAAACCTAAATATACTTCTCCAGACACCTGAAGAAAATTTGTTTAATCGGCATTAATCTTCTGCATAATTGCGATCGGAGCAAATTATGATCATCGCTTTCCCCATACCATTCATATGGTTCATGTACCATTCCGTACTTGGGAAAATCTGCATGCTGCCGTGGGAAACCGGATTCAGAGGCAAAAGTCCAACACATATTGACATAACCGTTTGCTTGGAAAGAACGAACCATCCCGTTTGTTAGGAGAGAGCGGGCAACCGCGACGGTGAAAGTTTGGGCTGATGTGCGCTGCCGGCGCGCGCTCTCGGCCGCAAACAGACCCGTGCAGGGGCTGATACAGACACGGGCACCAGAGGAGAAAGCAGAGTGATAACAACGCTGCCTGACCCACACCTGCACCCATTAATGACCAGCGGGCAGCCAATGTTACTCCTGGAGGCGGTCTCCAACGCCACGCTCTGTGGCCTGAAACATAAAGCTGCAAGCGCGTGTATGCCGTGGTGGTGGCCATTGTGACCATCATCTAACCAAAGTTTGCAATGCTTCAGATGCACCCACCAACAGCAGTAAATCGTCGCTTATAGATCGATGACATCGGCTGACTGTACCACGCATGTGAAAACCCATAGCCAGACAATTTCCAGGCCATATGGACTCGTAGCAAATGTGACTAAAGGGGAAATGAAATTCTGCCCGCAAGATTTCACAAAAGATGGACCTTCCAACGGACTGACCAGACACATCCGTGTAGTTTCTGAATGTGTTTGGCTGCGTTAGTTGATGCTTTTGCATCATCCACAAAATGACAATCGATAGCACCGGTCTTCACATCGGTATGCTAGTTCCACGTTGTGCAAGGTGGATTACCGGTCAAAATATATATTGATCCCGCTGGGTCTGCGTTAACTCGACCCCGGTCTTTGAAACGTCCGGTTCGTCCGACTTAAGCTATAGCCTTCCTGATCCACAAATAAGGAACCTTTGGTAGGATATGGCCCTGTCCTGAACTAAATGCTACGTAAGTCAAGGGGAGGGGTTACAAAAGGAGCAGAACGATTACGGAAGACTGTAGCTCTGTGGCCAGCTCTGAATGCAACGACTGGAGGACGCCTGTAAGTTCTGAACTGTCATACTAAGTAGCATGCTTCCACTGTTGTGAGGCATCGAAAACCTTCTGTTCGTATTATATAAATATGCACACACACACACACACACACACACACACACACACACACACACACATATATATATATATATATATATATATATATATATATATATATATATAAAATTTATTTTTTATTTTTTATTCATTTATTTATATATATGCTTTACTCCGTATAGATATTCCTACGCCTGCAACAAGAAGCATTTCGACGAAAGCTGGGGTGTTACAATATCTGGGGGCATTCAAGCCTAGGCTCACTTCAAACAATCACATCAGCCAGGCCACCCATTGCATTTGTCAGTTATGCACCACCAGCCTTCCGCCAGCGACTCAGCTTTACTGACCCGCAGCCGACCCCCAGAAATCCCCGGTCCGTGACCTGTGTCACCGCCGACCGCGGGCAGCCCGTGACGTCACGCTGACCGGTGACGTCAGAGCGGCGGTCGGCGGCCGGCGGCGGTGGGCTGGGTCGGCGGGCCGGCCAGTGCCGCGCCGTCGCTCTCAGGTGACGGGGTGGGAGCCGCTGGGTCGCACGCCGACACCCAACGCCGCGCGGGACATGGCTCGGTGACGACCGCGCCTGCTAGGCGACGCTGTAGCGCGCACGCGGAGAACGTGGCATTGTACCCTCGGCTTGTGCGTGATTTCAATCGGTTTTAGCGCGTTTTAGGTGGTTTTAGTGTTGGCAGGAATCGGTTGGTGACGCCGCCATGCCGCCCCCAGTGCGTCTGCACTATGTGGTGCCTCTGGTCATCGCGTACGTGGTGGCGCGGTCGGCGCTGGCTGACATGAACAAGCCGGCGGTCACCGTGTCGTACGAGGTGAGCTCTGCCCGGCCGGCGCCTCACGTTGTGCCACTCGAACATCACGCCACGCCGACGCCGTCGGCCCACATAGACCCGGTGAACGAGAGCGACACCGGCTACCGAGACCCGCTGTTCGGTCCGCACGACCCCAACCGCCACTACCACCACGGCAAGGAGAAGCAGTACTTCCAGGTGGGCGTGGTGGACTTCGAGCGGGTGCGCACGCCGTTCGTCATCGGCTCCTGGATCCTGGCGGCCAGCCTCGCCAAGATTGGTGAGTGGATGCGGCGGGGGAGGCACCGGCGCCGCCTGGCAGGTCCTGATGCTTCAGTGGCCTCGAGCACGCGCATTAGAAGGTCTCGGAAAATGACTCGCCCGCCACGAACGGAAACAGCATGCTCACACATCACACTCCGTTTCTCTTGAAAGGCATAAGAGGTAGATCCACGGAACTGATAGGGCAGCCAGGTATTGTAAGGCAGTTTGCTATGGACTAAATGCGTGACCTTGGGCTAACATCCTTAAGGTCAAATCAGGCTCCAGATGAGCCCCCAGCTGGCCGATCCAGTAAGAGGGCGGTCTGGCGCCGCGTGTAATTTCTGCTGCGTTGGCCCATATTCGAAACAATTTCCGGCCACTTCTGTTCTGCTTCAAGCGACGGGTAGCGGACTTATTTGCAAACAGGCAACAGATCACGGACGCGCTGCTCCTCAGTGCGCAGATTTCACGATAAAAATGCTGGAGGGGCATCCCCCTTTCCAGAGTGCGTGGTTGTCATGGCACCTGACCGGTACAAGTCCGTTGACGTCTGCTCTAGATCTCAGGGAATGTTGAATGGCCACTGGCAAAGAATGGTAGAAGAACTGGATCGTCGTGATTAAGACTACGGGTAACTGGAATGCGGCTTGTTACCAAGCCAGGGTTTCATTTGCAGGTTCATAAAAAATCGCGCAGATACAGCCATTCACTGCGGAAGTTCCATAGAAAACCGAAGGGAGTGTTTCGTCAACTATTCATCATTCCTTACAATTCCATCGACCAACCTACCAGATGGTTGATGGTGTTGCAGACGTGACGTTGCTGGTGAAATTGGTCCATAAAAGACGATTGACGAACAAACCGAACACTTCTCAAGGAAAGGGAGATGGTCAGATGGGCTGTTACTCGCTTTATTAATGTAACGGCTTTCTTGACTCCTCCAACAATCATCAATGCATGTTAATGCGTGGAAAGACTGTGTTACCAATAGCAGCTTCGCCCCCCTTTTTGGGGGGGTGAACATTCACTGTTCGAACTTCCCTCAGTAGCTAATGCGCTCGCCAAATGGAGCCGCCTCCGTGGTGAACGAGCCAGTGCCGTGTCTTACTGCAGTGCCTCTGCTGCCGTTCTGACCAGATGGGTGCATGGCCGTCAGACGACCCTCATCACCACGACTGTCTACTGACTTGAACTCAGCTGTCATCACCATACAGGTGTATATGGACCGCACAACCATGGAGTCGCCACGGGTTGTGCACGACATGTTGACAAATATGTGGAACTGTTTAACAAATATTTATGGACGAGAGATGCATGGAATCGACTGAATGAGCTGCTCAAATGGGCCGTTTGTGTTTATTCAGAACGGTAAACTGTAGCAACCACAAATCCCCTTTGCTTATGCCAGACGCAAACTAGCAAATGGCCAAATGAGAAGCGCTGACTTGCTAAAATAGCAAGGAGCTAACCTTCACAGCAATCGTTTCACTTCTCATAGCGCCGGAAGGCGCGTATGTTCCACATGGGCAAAGAACTGTGGAAAATAGCGTTGCCCTGACTCATCCAGGACAGTGAGGTCCAAGCGGATCGTTAGGCGAGCCGGAACTGATTGAGCGACCTCCGAACAAAATCAGCCCTAATTGATGCGCTAATTGAACCAGTGAAAGTCACGGCGAATTGTAGAACATGCTTCTCGTACACCGGTAAGTGCAGCTGCTCGGAATCTGCCTCATCCGGTGCATCAAGTGCTCACCGGTTACCGGAGATGTTGTCACATTCAGTACACATTCTGAGAAGAAAAAAAACGCCATGTCCCAGCCGGGCGGAGCGGCGGATGTTGTCATCATAAACTGAGCACTGAACGCACAGTGCCGCCGCAAACGGCGCATGGCGCCGAGGCGCCCATGCCTGGGTGGCAGGGCGAGATGTTAATTTCACAAATATTGGTGCAGTCGTCACAAGGAATGATTTCGCTATTTTGTAGCAAAGCATATAATACATTTTGGTTAAGAATGGAATTACTTGTAGTCTTTTGGGCGCAGCGGCCAATGACGACTATTCGTCTAATGTATCGTGTTCATTGGAAATCAAATCTTTTATTTCATACACGAGCTCAACGGTCTACGAATCGTCACATGGACAGCATCCGTGACGAATTAAAAGGAAATCAGATGAGATGCGATTTTATAGCCCATAGGGCTCTATATTATCATTTACAAAAAATGAACACAAGAGAAAGAAAACTTTTTTGCCTTGTAGCAATGCCCGATTTCATGACGTTAATATGAGATTCTATTATGTTGAAAATACCGACGATAATTTGTGAATGACAGTTGCTTTCACTGACGTGAGAATCTTTTTCACTTTGGTTTTAAATGGCTTGACCGAAATGGCCTCTGGACTGGTTGGATCACGTGACATCCGGAGTCTTGGACTATCGGGGAAATTATGGTGTGGGATCGGTTCATATATATTCAGTGTCATATATACATCAAAACCTTGGTTGCATAGTGTCGATTGGCGGTGTGGTGTTCCTAGATCAGCCGTAGCGGCCAATACCAAATATCAGCCTGATATATATCACCTTTTGGCACTGCAATCGCTGGAAGGTCATAGTTGTCAACGCTTGGATTAACGACATCAGCGACTCAAAAGGATCGTGAACTTTATTTGGGTTGAGTCAAATGTTAATCCTGTGGGAAATTACATAAGATATATGAAGCCTAAGTTTAAAAAAATATTTACGAACATACCACCCGGTGCAAGCAAGCGCAAGATCGCAAATCGCTGAAAATACCAAAGTTGAATTTAGGATCGCCGTGGCTTTTGAATGATGAACAGATTGCGTTCACCGCGCATAGGAATACCCCGACCCAGAGTGATCTCTGAACTGGTTTGGTCACGTGGCATCTGAGTTCCTCAAATTTCAGTGCCGGCATGACGCCGGACCGATTGTTTATGTTACGGCATGGCTTCCACGGCACTAAAGCGTAGCATTCTGTTAGTGTGATCAGCTGTGATGTAAACTGGACCATCCGGTACAAATCCGTCGACACCTGCTCTAGGTCTCAGGGAATGTTGAATGGCACCGGAAAAAGAATGGTAGGCGAACCGGATCGTCGTAATTACGACTACGGGTAACTTGAATGCACCAAGCTAGGGATTTTCTATGTTACAGCATGACTCGCACTGCACTAAAACGTGGCTCTTCGTTTGTGTGACCAGCTGTCACGTAAGCCAGATCTTCCATCTTGTTTTTGGTTCAGTTCGTGACAAAACGCTGACCAATGCATAACATGCAGCTATCAGTAACAGTCGCATTTTGGCCTTACCGTGCAAAGGCCGATTGAACGTCAAGTAAGACAACACAGCTGCGCCTATATCTTGAGTTTGACCTTGGGTTATCGCTTGGAGTCATACCTTTAAATGCGTGACGAATCGCTTACATCCGGTTGGTTGGGGGTTATTACCGAACTGCTTTCAGGTCTCAACGAATTTGATTGGGCTGTCGATTACCATCGAAAAGGAACATCGAATTCCTTCCAACTTTACATGCGTAGATGAAAGAGGCTACATGCACGTGAAAATTGTTTGTAGCTCGCAATTTCAGCCTTCAAACGACGTCCTGTGCGTTTCTTGGAGCCTTCCTTGTAATCGAATCGGCGCTCAGACCGATTTGCATCGCTTGGCGGCCAGGGTGGTGCTCCCCAGAGTGCACCGGTGCTCCGAGGTATGGCCGAGCCAGACCCCCAGCTTTCTTGCGGTCACTGGCGATCGCTGGCGTTCCGATCCGGGGGCGCCCCAAGGTCGTGTCCGCTCCGTCACACAGGCCGTTGCCGTGTGGACAGACAGTCAGGCGGCCGCACAGTCCTGTCGGCTCCGTCACACCGCCGTGTCGTGTGGACAGACAGTCAGACGGCCGCACAGTTCTGTCGGCTCCGTCACACAGCCGTGCCGTGTGGACAGACAGTCAGACGGCCGCACAGTTCTGTCGGCTCCGTCACACAGCCGTGCCGCGTTGACAGACAGCCATGCAGCCGCACAGTCCCATCGGCTCCGTCACACAGCTGTGTCGGGCTGACGACAGGCAGGCGGCCGCACAGATCTTTTGGCTGCGTCAGTCAGGCAGCAGCACAGTTCTGTCGGCTCCTCCACACAGCCGTACCATGTTGACAGACAGACAGAGGTATTGCTCTGTCACACAGACTGACACCTGGAGCTGGCACCGGCGGTCTCGAGCACCACCAGACAAGAGGTCCAGGGAACTGCAAGGCGATGGGTTCAGAGCGCCAGTAGACAAGGGATCCAGCTCCAGAGTGCCATCAAATAAGAGTCCAGAGTAGATGCACGGATACATGAAGATCGTCATGATCGGGAATACTGTCACTGATGCCGAGTATCGGAGCATGTGGAGAAGGCCTGGGCACCTTTCACTGGCGTTCCGAGCTATCATACGTGCAGACACTTATGTGAGCAGCAGCTGGTGCCGTGACATGCCCACCTAGTGTGTCAGCGAAAGGAGACATTTGGAAGGCCGCAGCGAAAGCGACTGGCTGATAGCGGCTCCGTGGCTGGGGCCAATGAACTCAATTGTACAGCGGTAGCGGCCGGTAACTGAAACATGCGTTTTTTTATCTCAGTTAATCCCAAAGCACCGCGATATAAAACAACAGCCATGATAGGCCATAAAACGACAGTTATGATAGGTGATCTTGCTCACTGTTCATGCCTTTAAGCACCATAAGCCGGCCCAGGGTTACGAACATTTACGTGGTCGACTAGGTGCGTTCGGAGCTTATCAGATGTCATGACATAACACAGTCAGTCTGTCGATGAACAGCCATTAGTTGCCATCATATTACATGGATCAAATGAACGCACGTCTTTAGTTACGAAATTTCGATGGAAGCTAGATCATGTATCGTGTAAATCATGTGTAAACGAAGCATCCGGTTCGAATAAGACGGCGGGACACGAACAGGCGGTCTTCGGCCGAAAGAGCGTCCTCTCTCAGCC